TCACAACTTATCACCCTTTATTCTCCAGAACAAGAATCATCCACTAGATTAGCTCCAAATAAGCCCAAGATTCAGCCCCGTCCCTACCAAGCCAGCTTCTAATAGACCCAAGTTTCAGAAACGCTCAGGTGTATTAAGTGTTTCCAAAATCAATGTTATGTCAGTTAATGTTATAGACTTTGTTGTCATTGTAGTATCCATTTGTTTCTTCAACAATGCAAAAAAGGTCAATTCAAAACTTTTCTGAAATATAGAAAGAGTATACACTCGAATAAAAGAAAACTCACCGCAAAAAAAAAGTTTTCTTCTTGGATAAATCAAGTAATATGTTTTAAAAATATTTTCAACTTCCATAAAACATTACGTTTCGCTAGGTTTACCTGGTATCGTCAGGTGAATATATTTAAATGATGGAACGGAACCGTTATATGTTATGTTACATCGCTAGGGAACAAAATATAAACAAATTAAATAAGTGTTAAATAGGAGAAATTTAAATAAATATAATTTCACACCTAAATACTGGTTGATGCTAGTTTTTGTTTTTATTAATGAAAGCATTTGTGATCTTCTTTCTATTTATATAATATTCTCTGTTTATGGTTTTAACTTCCTAAAAACAAGAGTGTTTATTTTGAGCCATGAGCTCGAACACAGAGGAAGAGGCTTTTTTAACGTTATTTTAACACACTTGCCGACCAATTTTTCCATTGCAAAAATCATCACATTTTTTGACAATGTAATATGGTACAAGGATTCTGAAGTGCCCTTTTCAACAAATTGGTGCGATATGATGTGGTCTACTTGTCTTGCCAGTACGGAGAAAAATGTTACATATTATCCATATTGTGTTCTTTAGTTGTTTTTAACCATGATTTTTTTTTTGGGGGGGGGGGTGGCAGGTGAGAACCTGGTGATATGATATACACAATAAAAAGATGTTTATTTTGTAATTGTTGATTGTATCCTCAGGTCGTGATTAAATTTTTTAGGGATGATAACATTTTATTCACGACGGTTCGAGGATAACTGTTTTGCAATTTAAATTCTGCTTTTAACACATTTATTTCTGAAGAAGCCTGATGAGAGGAGCAAATATTCTTAGCTGTTTTAAAGAGGTTTTTGATGATCCATGTTTTTTGTGTATCCTCAAGAAAATAATTCCAATAAATAAATGGGATGTATGTTAAACCTAAAAACATTCTTTATTAGGGTAAAAGTTTGAGACTTAGGGAAACGAACAACCGACATAAACTGTAATGTTTATATGGCAATAGCACAAGTTCCAAAATTCAGACTTAACCTTCAAATAAATATCTATTTCCGTAAATAATAAGACAGCACACAGCAGCTAAAATTAGACTTGCACCAATGAATTTGCACATAAATCACTTAATATAAACAACTGCCAATAATTAAGAGTCGCCAGCTGTCACAAATATCTAACGGGATCAGACGAGGACTGTTTGTTTGTAATTAAGCACAAAGCTACACAATGCCACTGGGGGGGGGGGGGGCTCAGACGAGGAAATCAGCACAGGACCTTCAGAAAGGAATGGTTATGGGATGCAGTATTGATAGTATGAGTGTCCAAAGCATTTCAGTACGACCACTTCTACTCAAATATAATGTTTTGGAACTCCGTCTGAAGGACTTACCCCGAGATTTAACTGCATTTGGAACTGCTTTGAAAAGCGTACAGCGCCTCCCAGTGGCTCAGCGAGAAGTTTCAAAGTTTACGAAGCTGAAATATGAAATTCGAGCACTTCGGCTGGTACAGCCATTATAGTTCGTTGTGTAGTTTTGTGCTAAAACAAACAGGCAACAGGAGTGCCTGTTTATTGCATTAGACCTATATACATCGAATGGTGGCAAGTGATAGTAACATCAAAGGTGGGTCCATTCT